ATGCCCCCCTGGTCACGGCCGACAAATGGTCTTCCAGTGTCAGCCGTGGATCCAGGAGGACACCCAAGTTGCGTGCCCTCTCTGAGGGGGCCAGAGTCTCGCCCCCTATAGTCAGCGATGGAGTCAGCTGACTATGCCGGGGCGCCGGCAACCACAGCCACTCGGTCTTGGAAGGGTTGAGTCTGAGTCTGTTCCTCCCAAGATAACCCAAGATAATTTCAAGGCTAAGCAAGGCTCTGGATTCTGACTTGATAGCTCCCCAAATTGTTATCCAGTGCTTTCAGTTACTCTGCCACAGCCAATCTGTACTTGAGATTGAACAGAGAAAGAATAGAATGTTCTGTGCTTCTTGTCATGATTTAATTAATATGATTTGGAGCCATTTTTCATAAATTCTTTTGATCTTAACAAGATCTACAATTCAGGGGCAGAGCACATGTTTCGTGTGCAAAAGGACTCGGTCTACCTCCTAGCACAATCAAGACAATCTGCGAAAGGGTCTTGTTTAAAATGCTGACAAAACCCACATGCCATTTAGAGCAAGACAAGCAACGTTTGGTCCTAAGGGCATGGGCAAGATTTGAAACCCATTTTGCCAGAAGCCAGTTACCAGCAAGGTCAATCTGTGCCCCTCCTCGCAGCTTCCTGGTGAAGAGAGTGGCAGAGAAAAAAAACGGGAGTAAAGATGAAAGATATTTTCATCTAGTTTTGGTGGAATCTGAACCCAGCCTGCATCAGTTTGCTTTAGTCTTGTCCATCAGACAGGCTTTAACAGAAGGCAGCCCTCAACACACCTTGAGGATCTTGATTGAATTTGGTTAGTACTTTGATGGGAGATCATAATTCTAGTACAACACCTATATTACTACTACTTTGTCTGTTAGACTGTGATAGAAACCAGAATTATTTGATATCTAACAGCAAATGGAAGTGCTTAGCTAAATGTCATTAACTGTGAAAAGCTAAATGGAAAAATCCAATGACTGAGCACTTACCGGTATATGCTGTTGTCAAAAAATCCTCATATGGACGCAACCATTACACCACCAGAAATTGCACCCAGTTTCGAAACTTGACTTTGTTTGACTAAAAAGAACTAGTAGACCAGCATGCTGTATGCCTCCCAAGGTTGCTTTTCATGAAATGGGTGGGTATACAAATTCGATTAATAAATACACTTGGAATAAGGAATATTCTTACCTTAGTGATCAGGAATGTGGATAGGAAAGATCACCATGAAGTGTATTTATTCCCCAAGTGCTGGTGTTGAAGTTTTCAGCACCTACTGTAGATAATTTCCCCAACTAACTTGGAAGTTGTTCTTTAAATGGGAAATGGCTGCCATTGTGAGACAGTTAAATCATTTACCTGATGCCTCTAAGACAGTGTTTCCCAAGTTCAGCAACTGGAAGAGGGGTATCCTTCCAGTTGCAGAGTCCGAAACACATTGCTCTAAGGAATGATATGGAAGCTTCTTTGGTATGCCATCTCCCGAGAGTCTGTTTTGTTATGAGCTGGAATTACATGGATTACACGATTCATTTCAGCTCAAATTCAGATAAGAGGCAGGTTTATTTACAATGGATCCTAAAGAGCACTTGGATGCAATTTCTAGGGTCCTTGGTGCTCTCTGAGCTTGGTGGTTTTCTTGAAGATGTTTCATTACCCAACTAGGTAACATCATCAGTGCTAGGAGGGAGTGGGCTTACCACTGATCATGTTATCTAATTGGGTAATGAAACCAGCTCAGAGAGACCAAGGACCCCCACAGTTCAACCCTAAGCTACAAATATTCTCTTCTACTGAGCATGGTCTCCTTGTTTGAGCAGGGCGTTGGACTAGAAGATCTCCAAGTCCCAACACTGTTATTCTGAATGTTATTTACTATGGCAAGTTTTTTTTAAAAATTTTTGTTGCTTTTCATACATTCAAGCCTTCCATGCTTCACTGACTCTTTCCCCTCTCTTTTCTCTCGCTCTCTCATTCTAGCATGAAGAGGCGTCCTAATTCTCTGAACATCCCCCTCACAGATGATATGGTACGTGGGCAGGTGGGGGCCAAGATTGCCCCCGCAGTGGACCACTGGCACCTGAGTGACCTCAGTCAGCTGCAGTCCAACTCCATCTACAAGGTTTTTTTTACAACTATCATGGAAATGAGAGCTTCCCTGCCTACTTGTTGAATTGTGTTTTCCATCAGGGGAGAAGGACCCTTTGTGTCTGTAACCCTTTGCAGCCTAAACCATTTCCCCCCCCCCCCCGCTCCCTTATCTTTTCCTACCTTTTGAGGAACAGGCAACGTACGGCCCTTCTACATCTCCCATGCTCTGTTTTCACAGTCTCTTTCCATTGTCACATTGGAACAAAAGTGGTTTCTCCATCTTCCTGTACTCAACAGGGGTTAGCCATGAACTTCCTGCTTCCAGGAAGTCTTACCAACTGTTAAACCCTGTCTAGATTAATCCACAAGTTTTGCAAAGGTGACTTCCATTTTTGGGACTCCTCAGGATGGCTGCACAATTAATGGGGTTTTGTTGGTGTAGCATGTGTGAAACTTAGTTGAATGAAGGTAAATGCAGTGTCCCAGGATATTGCTGGGAGATTCAGTCTGGGTCAGTCACTGGGACCAAAGATTTATTCATCCATTGTGGGCTTGTGCTGGAGCCCATCATCAGGGAATTCTCTCTTTCTCTCTCCAGAATCTGTGTACTGGGCTGCCCTATGCATTGGATTTATATGGCTCCTGGTTGTGTGTGGCTTTTAGTTTTTAATTAGGGTTTTGAAATTTAGTCGACTCCAGTTGACTTTTAACAATTCAGTGGTCCTTTTATATAATAGTACACAATCCTGGAAGGCAACTCTGGTGTCTGAAGGTGTCCCTTGCTGGTCTCTTCAAGAGGACCTTTTCTCATTTTCAGGGAGAGGTTTGTTTCCATAATAGTCAGTTGAATCTGTTGCCCCCCTATATTATGATCTTGCTTTATGTTCCTTCAAGGACCTAAATGCCTTTGGTTCTTTTGATTTACCCTGGTAGATGTTTTGATTAAGAATCAGACAAGAAGGTAAATTGACAATTTAAATAAAGGAAAAATAAAAGGCTGGTTAATAACTATTTTTAACAGACCAGCGGTCTGAGAACCCAGGGCAGTGGATTAGCTCCTTAACAAGTTGCACTGCTCTTCAACAACTATTAGTCTTTTTTCTCAGGTTGGAAGTGGTGATGTGGAGAGAGAAATCTTTTTTTCTAAATTGGCTGGATAACACCCTAGGCCTTGTATTTGTAAGATCACTTTAGACTAGTGGTCCCCTTGCCTTGGTGATATTGTTGGACTCAAAATTCATATCTGTCTCAGCTGCTAGAATTGATTGCTATTACGCTGTGCAGTTGAAAGATAAGCAACCTGCTGTCCCCCAAATATTATGAACTTTTGATTTAGTGGCAAGGGTTAGTGGGAATTGTTCAGAATAAGTAGAGGACGGTGAGTTGCTTACCTCCGGTTTAATATATTGGAGGGTTTTTTGGAGATGGTTAAAAGGAAGCGGTAATTAATTATGCACCGTACCATGTATGGGATACGATATGGATTTTATAGCATATTTAGAGGCCTGCTTTACATCTCAGAAGAAGTTGTAAGGAGGTGCAGCCACTTCTGGGAACTGTTGTGTAGTCACTGACTTAATTTTGGAAACCCATCGCAAGCAAATAGAGTTGTAGCCAGAATAATCTGGCCCATTTCTAGCAGCCTGCTGGGCAGAAGGGAAGTTGCAGGAGAAAAAAAAGGTTTTGGGCACTTGCTCAGCTGGGCTTTGGCAATGCCAACATTCAGGCTCCAACAGATTCATTGCAAGACATTACGGTCCTGACAACAAAAATGTTCCTCAACCATGAAACTTTGTGTCATATTGGCCCCCGTTGTTCATTTCATGGTTTCCATTACTGCTGCTTGGCGTCTTACGCTCGTACTTCTTAATGCTCCAAAGGCAGCAAAAGAGCCAGGGAAAAAATTGATTGGTGTGGCTATCTTGCCTTTTTTTTTTCCCCCTCTCCCCTCTCTGCAAACCACATTGCGCGCCAGTGTCCACCTGATGAAATGTCGGAATCTGGACAGTCCTCTGCAGCTGCCACGCCGAGCACCACGGGAACAAAATCGAATACCCCCACGTCGTCGGTGCCCTCTGCTGCTGTGACGCCCCTGAACGAGAGCCTTCAGTCAATGAACGACTATGTCACTTCAAAAAATAACAAACGGTCACGGGAGAAACGGAACAGCCGAAATATGGAAGTGCAGGTGGTCCAGGAGACAAGGAACGTGAGCATAGGTAAGAGTCGGTCAATCTGCTTGACTCCTTTCATGAACTTGTTAAATGTTGGAACAGCTTGCCTTCAGAAGTTGTGGGAGCTTCACAACTGGAAGCCTTCCAGAAGAGACTGGACTGCCGTCTGTCAGAAATGGTGTAGGGTCTACAAAGCCCCTTCCAACTCTGTTATTCCATATTCTATTTCTAATTCTATTCTATTTCTACTCCACTAATTCTATTCTATTCTATTCCATTCCATTCCATTCCATTCCATTCCATTCTATTCTATTTCTACTCCACTATTTCTATTCTATTCTATTCTATTCTATTCTATTCTATTCTATTCTATTCTATTCTATTCTATTCTATTCTATTCTATTCTATTCCACTCCACTCCACTCCACTCCACTCCACTCCATTCCATTCCATTCCATTCCGTATAAAGTTTCTGTTCTGTTCTGTTCTGTTCCCTTCCCTTCCATTCCATTCCATTCCGTATAAAGATTCTATTCTGTTCTGTTCTGTTCTGTTCTGTTCTGTTCTATTCTCTATTCTATTCTATTCTCTATTCCTATTCCTATTCCTATTCCTATTCCTATTCTCATCATCTACCTGGCTAGTTTTGTGGTCCTGGATTTAATCTGAAGGAACCTAAACAGCTTGGGACCAAAATACCTGAGATAATGAGTTCTTCAGTGTAGTTTAGTCAATACAGGTAGTCCTCGACTTATGACCGCAATTGAGCCCAAATATTCCCTTGCTAAGCAAGGCAGTTGTTAGTTGAGTTGAGCTCCATTTTGCAACCTTTTTAGCCCTGGCGGTTAAACGAATCCTGTGGTCATTAAGCAAATCTGGCTTCCCCACCATTGACTTTGATTGTCAGAAGGCCATGAATGGTGATCACATGACCCCCAAACACTGTAACCCTCCTCAGTGCACAACAGTTGCCAAGTAGATAAGATAAGATAAGATAACCTTTATTGTCATTTTTTTACTGTGGGCACAATGGCACACCTCAAAAATGAAATTTAGTTTCCCGCTCTCAAAGTGAAACACACACATGACGCACACCTAAAACATACTATGTACAACATATGTATAGACCCACATCCCTACATGTGCATAGCAAATAAATATTAAATACTGTCCATCTTGAATGTATAATGAAAGGAGAAAGCTTGAGAGTGCCCAAACGTTAATCACGTGACTGTCGGGATGCTGTGAAGTATGAGGAGTGATCGTAACGTCACTTCCTTCAGTGCTGTTGTAACTTTGAACGGTCACTGAATGAACGGTTATAAGTCAAGGACTAACCTGCATGTGTGTGAGAGGGACAAGATGGCATGCCTTCTGGATTGAGGCCGGGTGATATTTCTGATGCCCTAAAACGCAGAATGGGTTACTCGGTGTTTTTCAAGAGAAGGAGAAGAGCAATGACACGTGTTTAGTCCAAGTGCTTTGTGGGCTCCAGAGCATACATGGTTCCCCATGCCTTTGTTACAGGAATGGGAAGCAGTGACGAGGGATCAGACTTCCAAGATATTGACTCTACTCCAGAGTTGGACATGCAGGATCCTAGACTGGAGCGCACAGGGAACAGGTTGGAAAGCTTTGGGGGCAAACTTAATCATTTAAAGGGTTCAAATAGTGGGGAATCATCGAAACAGACACAGATAATTTACGAAGCTGGTCTATTTCTACGCACTGTCATTTAAATCAACTACTTGTAGAGTAGCTGTCCTTTCTTAAACAATGTTTCTCAACCTTGGCAACTTTAAATGTGTGGAGGTCAAATCCCAGAATTTCTCAGGCCGGGGAATTTTTTTCTTCCCTCCGTGGGATAAGGGTAAAAAAATGGTATTTGGGGAGAAAAGCTGCCTTTTGTGATTAAGAGAGGAGGAAAATGGCAATATTTCTTGCTGCAATGTATTTCTGATTTTTCTTCTTATGTAAATAGCCCAACACAAGGGATAGTGAATAAAGCCTTTGGCATCAATACTGACTCCCTGTATACCGAACTTACTGAAGTGGGCTCAGAGGCCATCGGAGACGTGGATGAAGGAGCAGATCTACTAGGTAAAGGTTATTTCAAAGGCATAGCTTTTAAAATCCTTACCTTGATTATATCCTCACAACAATACTTTGAAGTAGGTTTTGGACACAAATTTGTAAAATTTGTCGGTAGATATTTAACTGGATCATTTAAATATCTAGAGAAAGGGAAGAGGTGGAACCAATCAGTGGTATTTGGATTCAAGTTCCAAGACTTATCTAATGTATGCCAGAGTGTGTAGTTATGAGAAAGGCAATTATTTACTCAGCAGGTTTATGCATTCTGCAGAATTCTGCAGTGGGTATAATGCAGCCTCTTAAAACGTGCATGCATATTTTGTGTTCTGCATTTTCTAATTAATTTGCTTAATTTATTCCATTAGTTTCAAGATTGGGAACGAGTTTTGTGGTATAATGATGCCTTGTTAACTCTTAGGCGACGAAGAATCTTGCCTATGCAATTCTCTTACCTTTGAGGCAGTTATTCTTCCTAACCACAGGACTTATATACCTTTAAAAGGTGTCATTGTTTTCTTTAAAAAGCTGAATTCTCTGATCCGAATCATGTTCTTTTGTCACTTTTTCTCTACTTGCAAGGAACAGCAACCTATGTTAGAGGGTCAGATTTGTAGCAAAGATTTCAAAAAGCATTTGATAAAGTAAATAAAACTATAGAGAGGATAGCTGATCAAGGAGCTTAAAGCAAGGCAAGTAGTTTGTATAGTCACAGTCTCGCCTAGCAACCACTTTATTTAACAATCAAGTTCCCGGTTCTAATTGTGGTCTCTAAATGAAGACGACTTTTATGTTGGGTGTACCCAGCCATTTTGGTTTGTGAACAGTGTTTTATGAATTAATCTCAGCCAGTTAGGATTTATTTAAGAAACTACGATTAAACAAACCTTAGCTTACCAGGTGTTGCTTTTATATCTTTATTTGGCTTATAGGGCCGCCTATCTCCTATAATGATTCTAGGGCTGTTCACAAGCATCTATAAAACAAAGATTTATCAGACGAAACAGCCTCCCAGCTCAACCACCTCAACCTGGGGGAAGAACCAGGTTTTCACAGCACCTCACTCAGCTTATTTGTTCAATTCCTGGTCGGTTCCTTCCAGTCTTTTATTGTTGTGCTCATGTGGCATCTTATCGGATAGTCAGAAGGATGTTTGAGGCCCAAAGGAAACCCAAGGACAAACCAGAAAACTTAAAAACAGACCATACTCTCCATTTGCATGTCATGCTAAGCCACAGTTGCAATCAGTAAGCCCGTAGCAAGCCATGGTTACAGACGGCTTGCCCTCAAACAAACCATAACCTGCTCCATTCTCCTTCCCTCGTCCACACACCGTAGAAAGGTAGAAACAACAACAATAAAAAAAACACATCAGACCATAATGTGATGCCTGAATCCAAACAATTCAAGAACACACACGAATATCCTATCGTGGGATGAGACAATGTCCTTTGTAGACTTCTAAAAGGTGGCATGCTTGAGGTTTTGGTGGAGCTGATGGGGGACACTCCTAAGCATTTAGTGAGATTTCGGTTTCAAAAAGTCATGTTTGTTTTTTTTAACCTTTTGCTGTGCTGAAGCAGAACAATGCAAAGAAAGCAAGAGAAATTTTTTCCTGATTCTGGCTTAATGAAAACCAGATACTACGCGTGAGAAAACGAGATTCAATGAGGGGCTCGTAAGGTCCCCAACCACATTTTCATCAGAAACATTGACCCTTCCCCTCTCACGCCCCTCATGCTTTTTCCTCATGTAAATTCATGCTGTTTATGGTCACAGTGGACCTTGTCTTTATGATTTTACACCTTTTGGTATGGAAATGGCAAAATCATTGTCTTGGGGTTTGGGGGAGGGGGAGGGAGTTGTTTTTAAAAAAAGATATATCCGAGAATTATTTTTTGTTGTTGTTGGTTTTAGACATTGATTGACTTTTTTTCCCTCCCCCCCCCACTCCATTCCTTCCTCTCTCTGTGCTTCGTTGGACATGGCCCATAGGGGAATTTTCAGGTGTGTATTTTTCCTCTCCTTAGATTCCTGGTTTATTTTCTCTTTTTCCTTTCCCCCCCCTTAGAATTTTAAATCAAATGAAGAGGGTATTCATATGTAATATATCCTGTCACAGTTCATTTTGTTGACTTGGTTTCTACCTTTCCCTACTTTTATTAGCTTGGACAGTGGATGTTGGGAACCTGCCAGCTAGGCTGGAAGGAGGGGTCAAGCAAGGACCTAGCTTGGAATCATTGTGCAGCCCACATGCAGCATAAGCTTGACCTCACCCAAGATCTATGAACCCTTATCTGGTCATTCCCAGGGAGAGGCAAGCAGTCTGGAGGATTCTTGTAACGTATGTGGCAAACAACAAAGTTACTGACTGGGTATTTTATGAAAGGCTATGGTTCCTTGCTCCTGACAGCTAGGGATCTGAACAGAATTGATCACTTTCTGTTTTTTGCTTACATTTCCTTTCTGCAATCTCCATCCACTCTGTCTACTTGAGTCCCATCTACTTTGGGATTTAAGATGGGAGGTGGAATATCCTGATAATATGGGATGAAGACTATACTTTCTTTGCTAATTAAGGCATGTCAGGACTCAAAGTCTGAAATTCAATATCCATCTCTTCTTAGGTGATTTTAAAAGAAACGTATTTGGGAGAATGGTGCTTAAGTCACCAGTTTCTAAAGTATAGCCCTGTGCTGTAGTTGGGCTACAGGTTCCATCATCCCCAATCAGGTTAGTCTGCAGCCAAGGATAATGAGAATTATAGTCCTAGGGGTTGCCAGAATGAAATTACAGTCTTAATTAGTGCTAACTGGATGGGATCTGGCGCTACTTCTGATAAACTAACAATAAGGGGGGGAAAAACTACTGGACAAGTGAGTTGGTTTGTGATGTTCTCCTTTTTTCCCAATTCTTAATAACAATCCTGGGACTTTTAGAGGAGAATACAAGAGATTGTTTTCCTTTGATCTCATATAATCAAGGACTAATTCGCTTGAACAGTTGCAATGTCCCCTTCTTTTTGAAGGGGATATATATCTTTTCATTATATCTCTGAAGTTGGAAGGTTGTTGTCAGGATAGGTTACCTGCAGCTCTTGAGTTATTTAGCCTCAGTCAAGACCCCGGTTCTGCGGTTCTAATGGGCCAAACCTCATAAGGGGGAAGAAGATAAGGAGATGGCACAAAAGAAAGTGAATTCCCAGGGTGTGGCAGAGAGAGAGAGAAAGAAGCTGTGCTTTCACTTAGTGTTCTTCTAGCTCAGTGGTTCTCAACCTTTTTAATGCCGCGACCCCCAACCGGTCGTAAGTCGAGGACTAAACCGGTCGTAAGTCGAGGACTACCCAACCGGTCGTAAGTCGAAGACTTTCCCTGCCCGGGAGCGCCGCGCATGCGTGGTTCTGCCCCCTGCGCCGGCCGAGGCGTAGCTGGCAAGCGGCAGAGACGGAGCAGGCCGACCACCAGCTGGCCCAGCTCAAGGGAGGTAAGGCACCCGCCGGAAAAGGGGGAAAAAAATGGCGGACAGCCTTGCTTGGCGACCCCCGTGAAATGGTTGATCGACCCCAAATGGGGTCGCGACCCATAGGTTGAGAACCGCTGTTCTAGCTCCTGGGAACATGGTCCCTGAGACATCACCCTCCCCCACCCTAACAAATGCAGCCTTCAATAGAGAAATCCCGGTTTGCTCTCTTTGTTTCTTCCACTTTGTATTCCTCTCCTTTTCCAAAGAAAGTAAAAAATACTAGCATCTGCTCCTCCAAAGAGAGTGAAAATGCTAGGACTTTCCTCGCCCCATCCACCTTCTCCTCCTCCAGGAGAAGATGAGCTCTTCCTTAGTGTTTGGGTGTTTCTACTTTTTAATACGACAGAAGTGGGACTGCAACCTCAGGGTTGAATCCAAGATATTTTATGATTTTGGTGGTTCCTCCACCACCGCCACCCCCCCCACACACTTTTTGTTTGTCACTTGGGCAGGCATAGAGATCTTGTTCAATAGGAGGAAAAATTCTGGCTGTTGTAAGACTAAAAACAGGATCCTAGAGCAACAACATTCTTCATCTGCTATGCTCCAGTTCTCAGAGGTGGACCAAGGCTACACCATGAGACGGATCCCCCAATTCTTTGTCCCTTGAACGCAAGGATATCTGTTCCCAAAACCTCTCTTTCTCAAAAGGAAGGGAAGAAAATTTGGGTCTAACCCACAAAAATGGCTATGATTTTGATTTGGGTTTCTTTAGAATCCGTTAGACAACACTTTAGAAGATAATATTGGTAGTTCAAGGTTGAACTATGGACTCCTTGGTGCTTTAGACGCAGAAGTTATAACCTTCTGGAACTTCCCTATGCTGAATTTTCTATTACCACGTCCCGATGAGCTGAAAGGTGGTTGTTATTCAGCTGGAGAGAACAGTGATAGCCTCAGGAGTTGTCAACTTGATTGGTTTCCCTCAAAAACCAGGTCCCTTCTACTGAGTTGGATCAGTCCCGGTGAAGAATTGCCTTGCTGTCATGTAAATGATTTTTCCATACACATACGTGCTAAGACGGTGTCACCATTTGCTGAGTTGTATTTAATGGCTGCTTTTTCTCTCTCTCCCTGCCCTCCCCTTTTCCCGTTTTTTTTCCTCTTCTGTATCTCTTCCCCCTCTGGATCCTTCGCTCCTTCCCTTCCTCTTCTCTCATACGCAATGACTTTCATAGTACGGGATGATTTCTTTGGTAAGGCGAAAGCCAGTTTTAAAACATATGGGTGTTCCCCTTTCCTTTCACTTGGCATCTGTTCATTCTTTTTTTTGTCTTCTTTCTGGGGATCCCTTGGGACTTGGTTTGTTTTTGTAATGATCCCCGCGATGGTAATGAAGGTGCTTTTATCGAGAAGCAGATCTTCTTCAGTTGCCATCATCTAGGAGGTATTGTCCTCTGCCTCTTCTCTTGGGACTTTTGGTGGTTATCCCCTTTGATGTTTCAAGCAGCTTCCAAGAGGTGGCCATAAAACGTCTCCTTCCCTGTTTTGTGTTTGTTTTTGTTTTGGAAATTGTGCCCCTGGAGCAACCTGATGGGAAGATTTGTCTAAGCAGCCCAGCTTCCTTGTGATTCGCTTAGCTTGACATACATGCTGATACTGTGGCCAGTTTTTCCTCACTCATGGTCTAAACCAGGGGTAGGCAACCTTGACTCTTTTATGACTTGTGGACTTCAGCTCCCAGAATTCCTGAGCCAGCCATGCTGAGGGGAAAGGGAGAGGTTTCCAAGCTGAGCCATGCCGGCTCAGGAATTCTGGGAGTTGAAGTCCACGAGTCATGAAGGAGCCATAGTTCCCCCATGCTGGCTCAGGAATTCTGGGAGTTGAAATCCACGAGTCATAAAAGAGCCAAGGTTGCCCACCCCTGCTCTAAACTTTCCTTTTGAAAAACCACACCTTTCAGAAAATAAAGTGGGGGGGGAAAAAGGCTCTAGCTGGCTTTTTCTGAATTGCTAGCTTTTTTTTTGCAAGTAGAGATGTTCTATCATAGCTTCTTTGTACCTGAAGTTTGAAACAGCATCAGGTCATCTTCATTGCAGATTTTTAAAAAAACGAATATTAAAATATAGGCAATTAATTCTGAGGGATGTACTCAGAGATGACCCAATGATACTTGGCGCAGCAGCTGAGATTTCAGACTCCTATTTGTGTAGCAATACTGTTGATTAAAAATATCTTCCTATTCTAAATTGGGCTTCTAGAAGGACATATCTGAAGAAACTTGCATTCAGAGTCTTCATTAAATGCCAGGGTTGGATGGCACGGACTAAGACCCCCCCATTCTTGCAAGGGGCCCCATTGCTCACCTTTTCTCTCTGAGTCTTCAAAGTGAAGAGTAGACGTGTCGTTCTTGGACTCTTCCACTAGCCAGATTGGACTCGGAAGGAAAAGGCAAGACAAGGAACAGTTCCTTGTTAATGTCCCAAAAGATTTAGTTCTTGGTTGTGTTCTAAGAAACGGTGTGCAGATCAAATGCTGCCTGAAACATCAAAAGGGACTAATCTCTTCATGTCCCCTCAAAACAACTGCAGCTGCTTTTCCATTCTCCTTGGGAAGTGGACATTCCTCTGCCATCTCCAACTCATCTCCATCTGATTGTGGGAAGAAGGTCTGTGCACTGCCCTGGTGTGTTGTGATGTGTTCTCACTTCCTATGTATGCTGCCATGATTCTCTTGTTAGCTTTTCATTTGTCCTGAGTGTGCATTTGTCCCATGAAAGCAACCTAAACAGACCCCCGCATTAAAAGAAAACCGAGTGTATTTTCCCTACGCAGGGTGAAGTAGAAGAGAGTTTGGATGCTGGCAGAGGTTGGCTAGTCATTGATCCCATGCAGACCTCTTCTTTTAACATCTGGAAATGGGACAAAATTATTCAAAGTAGTGCCATTTTCATTTTGTGATTGAAGACAATCTCTGTTTCTTCTCTGCTGAATTTTCAGTGCCATGAAGCAAAATCTGTCCCATAAAGACTGGACAATAGGACCATCCATAGGAACTTTTTTCTTTGTATGAGCTATCTTAGATAAAGCTTAGGTGGTTCCAAGGTCACCAAATGGCTCTTCCATGGTTTGAGGTCCATCTAAATCAGATGTAGCATCTCAGTTTGTTCAATCGCTGGGAGAGAAAGGTTGTTATTTGTGAAAAGCGCTTAGAGAGTCTCAAAAACTGCCATGTTTGGAATGCACCTATAGATATTCCTTCTCTCAGTACTATATATGCCTCTAGATTTCTAGAAAAGGAGATTCGATACAGTGAGAATACAGACCTTTCAATGGCCTTGATAAATTCGGCAGTTGACCACTGGTTGAATGCATGTTTTATGTAAAGGAAGTATTAGGATAAGAAAGAGCCAGGCGAAAGATGGTTTATAAGAACCAGAAAGCCTTGTAATGAGAGGACCAATTTAACAATTACAAGCCAGAGTAGAAACGTGAAGTCTCCTTCACGTTGAGCCTACGTTTGGTGGACTTCATGACCACCTTCATGTACATTTTTGGGGAAAAGTATGGACATAGAAACTGTACTATTAGGATCTTTTCTCTCTTTCTCAATCTAGTCTATCTCCCAGAATTTCCTTCCATGTATTTCCCCATCCGAGGGCAAATCGGGACCAGTTCTACTTAGTACTTTTTTTAATTCAGCCAAGGTTGGCAAGGTGTTGGCAAATTAAGGTTCCCTTGATGTAAGCTCTTGATAACTTCAAAGACAAATTTGATACTTTTTCTTGCCAAGAGTATGAAGGTGATTTGCCACTGTCTTCTTCTGGCAAGTTTTTTGGGGACTTCCCACCATAGCTTAGTGGTTTTCTGTCCAGATAAGGACCAGGTCAAGGATGCTTGACTTCCCACCCTTCCCATCAAAGGGGCTGCCATCGACAGTTAAGGTCCAAAGAAAAATTTCATTATAATTATTCCTTGTTTGTATCAACTTTCCTTGAAGAGTAGCTTATATTGTCGTTTTCTCCTTTTTTAAAAAAAAAAAATTGTGAATAGGTTCCTCACTTTGCTTCTGGGCTAAACCAGGAAATGAATCTAGGGTTGCTGAATTCAGTGTCTTGACCTCTGCCCCATTCTGTGTTTGCAGAACCATGATTATTTTAATCCAGAGTGAAAGCAAATCAGGGTAGTGTGAACTGGTCCTTGCCTAGACTTTTAAAAAGGACAGCCGTTTAGAGGATAGGCAGCAGATCTGTAGTCCAGCATTTCAAGCCCCCCCCAAAAAATAATCTTCCACCTTAACTTCTGAAGGAAGTTTTGGGAGGAATGGGATCCATCTTCTGATGCCATTCCTTCCATTCTTTGCAGCTAAGTAGAAGCTCTTAAACTAGAAAGTTATCTCTCTTCCAAAAGGAAAGAGCTTTATTTTTGTTCGCCAAAATGTGTGTGTCAAAATGTGTATGGCTCTCATTATTATGTTTTATTTATTATTTTTTCCACCTCCCTCCCCCCCCCAGGGATGGGCAAAGAAGTGGGGAATCTCTTGATGGAGAATACACAGCTGCTAGAGACCAAGTAAGCATTCTCCCCTTTTCCTAAATAAAAGTTTCGTGCTTCTTTATGAGTGTCGCATGAGTTTGTAGTTGACGAGATGCTGCATGTGGCTGTTTTGTTCAGTTTATCTTGTCCTTGGATTTTTTTTCATTTTGCTGAGATCGTTGCCCAGTGGGTTTTTGCAGCTTTTTTGACCCAACCTACCCAACTAATTGTCAAAGGGAGAGGTGAAGAGCATTTTTAGCCCATACCACAGCCTTTCCTGTGACCCCAGATATTGGTAGACTTCAACACCCATAGACCCAGACCGATAGCCATGCTGGGGAGGATTGTAGTTGACAATTTAGTGACCTGATTAGGAAAGACTGGAGTCTGTTTGTTTTTGTTGCATTGATAGTTTGGCCCAAAGGTAATCGGAGTAATTAAAATGCAAGATCCAGTTTAAATGCCTGATGCTTTATCTGTGACCCTCCATGATATCCCGTTGGTCCTTATGTTACCGATCAATATTTTTCCAAAAGCGTTCCCTATGATGTTACCCGTATTCTGAGGCCCAGTATATTTCTGTTTCTGTTACTTGCCATGCTCCAGAAATGCTTTGAATATTGTGAAGGATGATTTAATTGCAAAAGTGGACCAGCTTACAGGAGAACAGGAGGTGCTGAAAGAAGAGCTGGAAGCAGCAAAGCAGGCAAAATCCAAAATGGAAGCACGTATCAAGGAACTTGAGGAAGAACTTAAAAAGTGAGTAGCCCGCTGCTTTTGGATTCATTTATCAGGTGGGATTATTTCTCTAGAGGTGAAACAGGCAGCGGAGATAGTAAACACTCCTAGTGTAACCCTATAAGCCTACACATGAGCACCAACATTTAAAAATGTCCAGGTAGAACCCCTTAAGTTGTGGAAGGAAAAGACTTCATGAGTTCCTCAATCCATTTTAAAGTCCTTTTGAAAGATTCACAACATTTTACTGTACAGCTTTTATCTGTGTCTTATTTTTTAAATTAAAATATTTAATGTTTCCAACTTTTCGTAGTTTTATTTCCAATGTCGTAAGCTGCCCAGAGTCGATTGACAGTGAGATGGGCAGCATATAAATTTAATTTTTAATTTTATCTTCCAGATCTGATTCTCTCTCCATGCTATTATTGTGAATGCAATTACGAAATAAAACTCCGCTGAATTGGGACTGAATGATCACATTTTTGGGGGGAGGGGGATGACTCTTAAAATTCTCGGTTACTCTTTTATATTTTTATTTATCTATTCTTTATGCCCCTTGAGCTGGTTTACATCTTCAAGCTCCTCCCTTTTTCATAATAAAGAACATCATTTTATTTATTTATTAAGAAAATATATATCCCCCCCCACTCACAGTGACTGAGTAGCTTACAGAAATAAAACCCCAAAACCCAACAAACCCTCAATCCTTTAGTACCAACAATCAAATCAACCACTTGATGGCTCCATATCAACCTGGGGTCCCTAGGCCCACTGGCAAAATCATGTCTTCAGGGCCTTTTGAAAGAATATCAAAATGGACCAATCTTATCTCAAGATGATGCAAAGATGTCTACTAACAGTTCTTAGATTTGGGGGAAGAGAAACCCCCCCCAACCTATCTGATCGTTGGAAATTCAAGTTTGTTTCAGCTCCGCCTCTATGTAACGTCTGGATTTGTTTCATAAATTCCATTCTTCTTCCCCCCTCCAGAGTGAAATCAGAGGTGATAGTTGCCCGCCGAGAGCCCAAAGAAGAGGTGGAGGATGTAAGCAGCTATCTCTGTACAGAATTGGTATATTACATTATTAAAATGCCTAGGGAAAGAGGGCTATGGGGAGGGAGGGTTTTTTCTTTCCCATTTCCTTGGATAATGACTCTGAAATAATGAATGAATGAATGAATGAATGAATGAATGAATGAATGAATGAACGAATGAACGAACACTGCGCATTTACATCGGAGCATTGCCATGTCCACGGTCCCTGCGGTGGGGTGTATTCTCATGATTATGGTAAATTATGGTAACTTGTCATCCAGTCGTTCCTGAGTGACATTCCCCTTATAGGTTGAGTGTATTGAAAACATCAGGAAGACTCATGTTAGAAAAACTGAATAGTAGTTACAGGAGGGTCCTTTAAGAGTTCATCCCTCCTCTTTCCTTTTTCTGATCTCATACTGTCTCATGCACAAGAGTCAGTGGCTTTAAAAAAAACATACAACCACACTTAAGTAATAGTCATAGACTACATGCTTCATCTTTTGGGGCCTTTGGGGATTGCAAGGTAAAATAATGTAATCATCCAATTCACAAGCAACCAATGAATGCTCTAAGAAGAGCAGGCTGATTTTAATGTTGTGTACTAACCGCATGTTTCTCCAATCCTCTTTCTCATGTGGTTCCTTTTTACACACGTGTATGCTGTTTTCTTTTTCTGATGCAAATCTCTCCCCAGTGTTTCGCGGTGTTATGGAATAGGCAGATATTATTATTACATTATTAAATTGCCTCGGGAAAGAGGCGCCATGGGGAAGGAAGGTCTTTTTCTTCAATAATGACCCTGAAATTATGGCAAAACCATTGCGCATTCATATTGGAGCATTGCTAAAATAGCAAGCCCTTATAAAACAGCCGTGCTACTCCCGTCCCAATCCTGGAACTAAAATATCAGTGAAATTATTTCTGGAGAAATGAATAGTTGAATATAATGCATGGATAAGAATCATAAGTTACAGGAGGGAATAAAGTGGAATTCATGATGCAACTAAGCAATAGTTGCATAGAAATTCAATCTACTGCCTACGGCTTTAAACAATTTTCCCTTCAGCAGTTCATCACATTTCCCCCAAAACATCCCTCCTCCGTGTTAAAGCTGTTCAGTGGGTAGATTTAATTTAATTTGAACCTACTAACTCTTATGAACCTCTGAAGACAGAAAATCAAACCTGGGTGTTAATATTAGCTTGCCGAAAATCTGTAGGTTGGTGCAAAATGTTCCATTCCAGGGACTTCGAAAACATTCTGTTTCTTAAGATGTTTCTGAGCTGACCAGGAATTAGGTTGAGAAAAATTGCTTCCAGAAAACTGCTGGACCACTTTGAGCAATCTGACTGGTGTGGTCTAGAGGAGGAAACAGAATCTGCCAAAGTCTCCTGAAACAATTTTTGCCTCCAAAATAAGATATTTCTGCCCATCCTTACAGTTAAGTTCACCTTTCGGTGCTTCCCCAGACAGAACGCTAGCCTTCACTGAATGGGTTTGGAAGTAGGTTTTTCAGAAGCTCCAAATAACAATCCATTGTTGGGCGTGGGTGGGATTAACAGAAGACCCAAAGGGAACTAATGTTTTTAACACTCCTTCTTTGGTGTTGTACTAATCTCCGTCCCCTTTCATTTCCCATGGGTTGAAGTCCTCCTCCTCCCCCCTGCAGGACAACATCCCTATTGCTCAGAGACGACGCTTCACCCGGGTGGAGATGGCGCGCGTCCTGATGGAGCGCAACCAGTACAAAGAAAGGTTGATGGAACTGCAGGAGGCTGTCAGGTGGACGGAGATGATCAGGTGAGGATGATTTCTCTGGTTGCAGCGTTAGAGGTGGGGCTTTTTTCCCGTTACTGTTAATAGCCTCATTACTATCGGTGGTTGCGGCAGATAGATTGCATTGACCTAGGGGTGCCATAACAGCCTAAATCAGTGATGGCGAACCTTTTAGAGACCGAGTGCCCAAAACCCACCCCTGCTCCTCACTCCACTGCCCATCCCACCCCCAGTCACGCCCCGCTTGCCCTCAGGGCTACCCACCACCTCCATGGCCTGCTGCAGCAGATCACCCAGGCGGCCCAGCAGCGCCATGATGGCCACACCCTCCGGCCGCACCCCGCAGCATCGTGCACGATGGGGCATGAGGGCGGAGTCTTGTCCCTGCTGCCTGACTGCCATGTCCTTGGCTGTGCTGCTCCACGCAGGCGTGACTCTCTTCCGGGGGGGGGCTGCTGGTGAGAAGGGGGCCGTGGGGGGAGGTGTGGCTGGGGCGACGGCACGTGTGCCCACAGAAAGGGCTCTGAGTGCTGCCTCTGTCACCACTGGCCAAATTATAGGTAGTTCTTGACTTACAACCATATCTGGGTCCAGAGTTTCCATGGCGAGGCAAGGTGATTGTTAACCGAGTCACCTCTGATTTTTATGACTTCTTTTGCTATGGTAGTTAAACGAATCACTGCAGTTGTTAAGTGAGCCATGCCATCCTTAATCAAGCCCAGCTTCCCTCCATTGACTTGGCTCGTCAGAAGCCGTCTGGGAAGATTGCCAATGGTAATAATCACATGACCCCGGGACGTTGTAAGAGTCATCAATACATGCGGGTTGCCAAAACCGTTATGTGACAGCTGAAAATGCGAGGATTGATTATGTCACTTTTTTTTTACTGCCGTTGTCACTTTGAGCGGTCACCAAATGAATGGCTGTAAGTCGAAGACTACCTGTATTTCTCCCTTCCTAACCCATATTATTATTATTATTATTATTATTATTATTATTATTATTATTATTATTGTTGTTGTTGTTGTTGTTGTTGTTGTTGTTTTGTTGTTGTTGTTATTATTATTATTATTATGGATCATTGCACAGTCAGCCAGATGTTCAGACTGGATTTGGCATTTTGTCTACCTATCAAGTCCTTACCCAGGACCTAGGATAGGCAGATGTTTGATGGTATTATTATTATTATTATTATTATTATTATTATTATTATTATTATTATTATTATTATTATTATTATTATTATTATTATTATTATTATTATTATTATTTTCGCTGTTCTTCCTCCCCACCCCAGTCACCAGGTCTGTCAGGAATCTCTCCTTATTGCTGGAAGTCTCAACTGATTATGCACAGATGTATTTTGAATTTATGCTGAGGTTCAAAGGGGGTCCCCACCTTGGAGGTTCGCCATCTCTTTCAGCACCTTGGACAGAGCCCAGCAGAACTAAATGTCTAATAACTTCAGTGACCATATTAAAAAAAAAAAACCAGTAAGAATTTAGATCTGGAGAGTTCAGGGTAACATTTGCTAAAGAGGAAAAGTGAGCGACTACTGAATGCTGCCCAATGACCCTAAAAATTGTTTACATTTTCACAAAATGAACAGCTAAATTACTAGAAGCCTCCAGAAATGTCGGACGTCCTTTGCTCCCTGGCTTTTTTTAGTTCTGGCATTTGAAATAGACTATCAGTAGCTCCACACAACCATTAATAGCGTTTATCAGGGGATATAGACTTCTTAGTTGGTCAAGCTGTCCCAAGCTGGTGATTGTGACCAGTCAGCTGGTAGCCATAGAAAAACTTTCATCAGTAATGTGAAACACAACATACAGATGATATAATTGAGCCCAAACTGGGCTCTTTCCCCAATTTTCTCCTTTTGATCTTCTACTTCAGTGTTTCTCAACCCTAGCAACTTTTGAGATGGGTGGATTTCAGCTCTCAGAATTCCCCACCCTGCAGTGCTCTACTTGGAGAGATGTTTTACATCTCCACATCTAGTGAGGCCACCTACTTCTTTCAGGCAAGACATTTAAAGGAAGAAATAGCCGTGGGAAGGGTCATTGTGAGCAGGAAATCAGCTGAATTTGTGACCGTATCCAGTGATGGAGGGGTAGACAAGTCGTGTTTTTGCCATGCCCTGTTTCTGAATTCTCTGTTCTGTTTGTCTGCAGAGCTTCCCGGGAACATCCTTCCGTTCAAGAGAAGAAAAAATCCACCATTTGGCAGTTGTAAGTAGGGGAACTTACTTGTGAGGTGTCAGCAAAGAGATTTGGGTAGATAGGATATCCTTGCAGTACAGTATAGTATCGGAGGCATTTGGCATTTATGTTCTCTAAAGACAGCTGCTTCTTTTTTTTTTTTTTTTTTTGCAAATGGCACCCTGAATAGCACTGGGGAGAATCCTCCAGTTAAGGAGGATTCAAATAACTTTGATGTAGAAATATAATAAAGACTGATCAGAAACGATGTCAAGCGCCAATCATCTTATCTTTTTGATAACATGGGTTAGGCTTTCTGCTTATTGTGAGAATACCCCGCTAATCAACCAAAGGTCAATACAGGTCCGTTTTTGTGGCTGGTTGCTTCCTGGTCTGCATTTAAAATACAAGTGCTAACTTAAGACAGTGTCTTCAAATGCCTAAGCAAGCAAGTAGGGAAGCCTATTTGAGGAGCCTCAGAAAAGACCCTACGCTGCCGCAGGTCTGTTTTGAGCAGGGAAAGGGTCAGATTTGGAATTCAAAACACCTTGCCTTCATTCCCTCTCCTTCCTCCCCAGCTTCAGCCGATTGTTCAGTTCCTCCTCCAGCCCTCCGCCAGCGAAAAGAAGCTACCCATCCGTGAATATTCACTATAAGTCTCCCACAGCAGCCGGGTTAAGCCAGCGCCGCAGCCACACCCTGTGTCAAATCTCTGCCGGGAACCGAACTCTTGAGTTTTTCCCAGATGAGTAAGTTTGGCTCTGATATTTTTGCCAGAAACCAGAAGTATGTACATTTGTAGAAGAGCTGAGTTAATCTATGGTAGCCAAAAAAAATGGTTGAATGGTTGGAACGCTGGGCAGGAGGTTAGGAAGCCCGCGTTTGAGATCTGAGGGCTGCCCTAGGGCGGGATTGAGCTCTTGTCATTCACTCCAGCCCCTGTTGGAGACATAACAGGAGCCCCCAACTGGGTATCCCTTCCTTGTCCTCTTGGTCTGTCCTTATCATCCTCCTGATCTTTCTCTCCTCAGTGATTGCACATCTTCGGCACGTCGTGAGCAGAAGCGAGAGCAATACCGCCAGGTCCGTGAGCACGTCCGGAACGATGATGGCCGCTTACAGGCCTGTGGGTGGAGCCTGCCAGCCAAATACAAACAGGTAACATTCCTACGCTGAGGAGGAGACAATTAGGGAGATACGTTAGGAAAGCAAGGAAGAGCGTTGTTCCCTTTCCACGCTGATTCCTTTGTTGAGTTCCCAGTCCTTTATCATCAATACATTGCAAATGATTGTAATGATTCTGCATTAGCAGGCAGAATTATGTTTTAGGTTGCCATTTTAAACACAAGCTAAGCATGGAAATTAGAAGACGCTTGCTCCTGGGGAGGAAAGCTATGGCAAATTTAGACAGCATACTAAAAAGCAGAGACATCACCCTGCCAACAAAAGTACGTATAGTCAAGGCCATGGTTTTCCCAGTTGCAATGTATGGCTGTGAAGGTTGGACCACAAGAAAGGCTGAGTGCCAAAGAATTGGGGCCTTTGAACTCTGGTGCTGGAGAAGACTCCTGCGAGTCCCCTGGACTGCAAGGCGATCAAACCGGTCAGTCCTAGAGGAGATCCACCCTGACTGCTCTTTAAAAGGCCAGATCCTGAAGTTGAAACTCAAGTACTTCGGCCACCTAATGAGAAGGAAGGACTCACTGGAGAAGAGCCTGATGCTGGGAAAGATGGAGGGCAAGAGAAGAAGGGGACGACAGAGAAGGAGGTGGCTGGATGGAGTGACTGAAGCAGTAGGCGGGAGCTTCAATGGACTCCAGAAGATGGTAGAGGACAGGAAGGCCTGGAGGAACGTTGTCCATGGGGTCGCAATGGATCGGACACAACTTCACAACTAACAACAACAAAGCATGGAAAATGTGGATATAATTGTTCTGATGGAAATTCTGGTTAGAATTTTGAGAAAAAAGGAAAGCCTGTGCTTTCCTTACTGATATCTTGAAGAAGAGAAAAATTCTCTTCCGCTGGGATAAACTGGAAGGAGCGATATTTACATATCAAGAACACAAAGATTTAGACTGAATTCTTTAGAAAAAGCCAAGGACTTCCTGAGTAGAAAAATGGTCATCTTGAAATAGATTGATTCAGGTTGATTTTATAAGTGTGTGTGTTTGGGTAATTTTAGGCTCTAAAAGCCAAAAAATTGTGTTTAAAACACAGTAAAACTGAAGAGCGTGCTTTTCTGCCCCAAAACAGCAATGCTTTGGACTTTGATATGTTCCTTATTTCCTTATTTTAAGCAATATACAGTGCATATTTACCAATGGTTGCTCAGGATCCCACTTCCTTCAGTGGAGCTAATTCTTACTAGAAAGCATATTTAAAATAGCAACTTCACTTCTTTGGTCAATTTTCTCCAATTTATCCCTCTATTAGTAAGATGGGAGTACAATTCATATGGTTAAGCTTGTCACCTGAAGATGATGAGAATCAACATTTCCCAAAATCTCCCGCAACTTTCTTGCTGTAGAAACACACAGCTTTATGCCATGAATGAACTGTGCTGTCTCTTCATCCTCAACAGTTGAGTCCCAACGGTGGCCAAGAAGATAATCGGATGAAAAATGTCCCTGTCCCTGTTTATTGTCGCCCCTTAGTGGAGAAGGACCCTACCATGAAGGTAATGTCAACCCTGAGCAAATTTTTCCTTTTCTTACATGGGAAGATTTCCACCCTGCAGGTCAAGTGTGATTGCTGAAGCACACCTGTAGAAGACAGTTCACATCTCTTTAAGCGTTTCATTGTGACACTGTTCCTATCATTGTTGTGAACCACAACCTATGGACAATGCAGAAATAAAGCCTGCATTTGATCTTCCATGTTTTCTCCTTTCCATTTATAGTTATGGTGTGCAGCTGGTGTAAATTTGACAGGCTGGAAGCCCGGGTTGGAACCAGACGTTGCAAATGGTCAAAAGCCTGAACTGGGATGTGATCCACTGACATGTGATCGAGAGGTAGAAGGAGAGAATATGAAGAGTAATCACACCTCTCCAGAAAAGAAAAAGGTTGGGCATATAGCTGGCTCTGCTCATTATGTGTAGGCATTTTTTTGTTCAGGGCTGGATAATAATATAAAAAACCATTAGAATTTTTCTGGGCAGTACAATTAGCATAATAATCAGTATAATCAATATAAGACAATCTCTTCCTTCTACTTGGAAACCGCTTCTGGACTTTGTGCTTGAGGTGGAAAAAAATGATATCATGATTTTGGGTTTTACCAATTAGACTGTTTTGCCGATGCAGAAGTGGCTCAGGAATTTTGGGAGTTGAAGTCCATGAGTCATAAAAGAGCCAAGGTTGCCTATCCCTGGGCTAGTGCATACTACTCTAGAAATGTAAAAAGTTGAGATTTGATTTTAATGTCTGATTTTACTGCAACAGAGAGAGTCAGAAGTCAATGCCTTTTGTTTCTTCCCCTCCCTTTCTTCACACCTTTTTTGTTTTCCCTTTTTCTACTGTTGTCCCCTACCTGCTATTTGCTTTTGTATTTTCATATTTGATGTTATAAATGAATAAAACTTAATTTTTAAAAAAACCAATATCTTCCTGAAAGATAAAGTCACACTGCACTTCAAGGCATAGCAGTGCTATTCACTTAATTTCTACGCATAATGAATATTGAAGCTTCAGCATTCCTAAACATTTAGTTCAATAAAATTAGTGGCAGTTGAACTTCATTGCTGAAACAATTACTCTTGTTCAGGATTTGAAGAGTCTGACTGAAATTCCAAGCCTGCAGATTAGTGGGACAATCCACAAATGAGTGAGAAGTACTGTACAGTAGTAGACAGACCTCCCCAGATGTATTTATGATTTGGCTTGGCAACCAGCTTCATTTACAGCCATTTGCAACGTCTCACAGTCACGTGACTGTGTTGTATGATGTTTTTGCTGAAAACAATTGGTTTGCTTAACAGCATTTCCTTCGGGATTGCAGCGTTTGCTTAACGACTCCCGCAAAACAGGCCATAAAATCATAAAATTGGTTGTGTGAATGACCCTGTTTTATGACTGTCATGACTTATGACTGGACAGACTCCATTACGGGTCGTAAGTTGAGAACTATCTGCACATTCTTGAACTGACATTCAATGGAATATCTTTTAGCAAGCTGATATTGCTTAGCTGTACTGCAGGAACTGTCCCACTCTAGATGGTTTCGTTCATAAAGCAGAACCACAGTCAGCTCAGGGAACATATTCAGTAGTAACAAATGTGAGATGTTACTCTGGTTACATCCTGGAGCCAACTGAGAACTTAGGTGAACTGATACTGGGGTTCATTTCAGCAACGTTTGGAGGTTCACATGTTCCATAGTTCTAACTTATACGACAAAGTACAGATGTAAGTTGGCCTTGGATGGAAGTCTGTCCCAAATCATGCCACAACATGATGGTCCAACAAGAGTTTCAGCCTGGAAGATTGTTCTGATGCAACATGCAACTTCCCACTCTTTGCCCACCACCTGGCTAATGTACCTATTACCTTTTTGCTTTCTCACAGACCAAAGAACTGCACGAGATGGATGCCACCTCCAGTAGAGTATGGATCCTCACCAGCACCTTATCTACTAGCAAAGTGGTTATCATCGATGCCAACCAACCAGGAACGGTGGTGGATCATTTCACAGTTTGCAACGCCCACGTGCTTTGCATCTCCAGCATTCCAGGCAAGCGAAGACAGATCTTGGACTTTAAAAAAATTATTATTATTATTTACCACCCACCAGGCGACTCTGGGCTGCTTACAAAGGCTTGTCATTCCCTATCGTGGATAATGCTACGTTGGTTCATCAATGTTCAATTGTTGCTTTCAAAGCTTGTAATTCATGAGGAATAGATTTAGAATAATGTAGCAGTCTAGAATCAAAGATACTTTACAACATTCATAAAAAACAGTCGCCTTCTTCCATAAAACACAATACAGACCTGTATGGGCAAGCTTGAATGTTAATATGGAGGCTGGGACTTCGTCTCCTGTATCTGTTAATTTTCTTTTTTGGGGGGAAAAAAGTCCTAGTCCTTATGATCTTCAGAAGCTTCCCAAGGGAAACTTGTTGTATTGTTATAATTAAAGGGAAACTAGCTTTGGTAGCTAACATCCAAGCCTAAATTTGATTTGGTTAGACACAGTGGGATGGGATGATTTTTTAAAAACCTGAATGTGAAGTAACTTTCATTCTCACTTGTTTTTCCAAATATAAATCCTAATCTTTTGGAAACTGAATGGATATTTTGCCTGGAAAAGTGGTGAATGGCAGGGTGAAGTTCACGGTATTTTCCAAACCATAAAATACCATTGAGATTGCTTTACATGGATGTGATGTGCTAACCTTGCCTGCTGGCTGGGGAATTCTGGGAGTTGAAGTCCACTTATCTCCCAATGGCCAAAGTTACTTGAGATATCAACGAGGTTGTTTTAATACAGTGTAGCTTAAGATACCAATGATGCTGCTTTACGTAGATGTGGCCCGCTGATCTTGAAGCCTTCTGTTTCCCATCTTTGCAGCGGCCTGCGATTCCGACTATCCTCCTGGAGAAATCTTTCTGGAAAGGGACTTGAATCCTGAGGAATCTTCAGGGACAGATGGAGTCTTAGCAGGCATCACTTTAGTTGGCTGTGCAACTCGTTGCAATGTTCCTAGTAGCAATTGCTCCTCCCGTGGAGACACCCCCGTGTTGGACAAAGGACAAAGTATGCTTCCACTTGCTTTAAAGGACAGTTTCCCCCCCCCCCCAGCTTGCTTTTACTTAATTAAGCCTGTTTGCGGTTCTTTTACTAGAACAACCTTAAATTTAACGGTACAGGATTAAAATAGATTGACCAAATGGCTCAGTATATAATAATATCTTGCTGCCCAGAACTAGCATATGATTATAATTATGAATGCGTCCTGCTTATCAAGAGGAAAAAGAAAACAGAGAAAACTACACACATTTAAGCTAACCACCACTGAATCTGGATCTGATCAGGATAATCTTAGTGAAGGAAAAAAGG